CAATAATGACATAACTATGACAAACTGGGGAACTTCGCTCGCAACTCCTCGCGCACCTCAGCCAGCATTTTATTTGCATCCGACAGTAGCTTTGCCTGCTCCTCCACGTACCGCTCAAGCCGGTTGCGCCTCTCAGGGTTGTCTTCAAGCCGGAGACGCTCGACGGCCTCCTTGTTCGCCGACTCCACATACTTTACAAACCGCATCACTGACCCACTGCGAAGCGGATAGTTGTACGAAGAATGCATCTTATCATGCAACTCAATGAGCTTTTCAACGACTTCAGGGTCGCCGTTCTCCTCTTCTGCCATGGAAAGATGCAAGAGGAAGCATGTGTTACAAGGGCCACCCAACACGAGGTGAAACAGCATACTGTACTCGTTCTTATGTCGCGCAAGAGCCTTCTCAAACGGCACGGGATCACCTCCAGCTGAGGCCACCACGAGTGAGGAAAGAACCACATCACACGTCTTTTCACCGGCCTCATTTGTGACAATACGGCATTGCCGAGAGAGAATAAAGGCAACTGCCATACCTTCTGTTGTCGAAAGTACGGGATCGGCATTGGCGCGGCGGAGAGCGCTGCTCATAACTTCTTCAAACTCCGCATCCGAAGTAACTTTGCCATAGTAAAGGTGTGGAATGCGAGGACCATAAATAGGGGATGGGTGCACCACCAACTTCTCAAAACAGCTGTTATTATCAACAAATAGATCTCGCACCTTATCCTTGTGGATGAACCCAAAAGCTGCTGTGAGCTCAGCTGTACCCTCAGTCAGGTTTCGATTATTCCTCAACACACCACTCACAATGCGCATAAGACCAGACCAGACTGGGGAATTAAACACGGCTCCCGTCTTTGGTGCCTCTACGGATATGATGGAAGCATTGTGTCCATCGCAGACAGAATCCCTGATATCATTAAAGAGGCTCGAGCGGTACGAGATGTTATATGGATTGCAGAAGACCACTGCGGTGGCCTCATGTTGTTTCCCTCGGTATGTGAAACTATTTCCTTCTGCGGAAATGTAATTCGATTCTTGCGGTCCACTCTTCAAAAGCACAAGTGTCTTGATCGCATTGGGGGTCCTGTGTTCCCTTGTTTCCTGTTGCTGTTTCTCCTGGCGTGCCTCACTTCGTTGTTGCCGCTTTTGCTTCGCTGCATCATGTGAAGGTTGTCGCCGTGATTCTTCTTCTTGGGCTTTTTCACGTTTAGTGTGTTCCACGGTCTCTTCCTTGGGGCGAGCAGCGCCGCTGTGGGGGGTTTTCTCCTCCACGTTGTGGGAGACGCGTCGCAGGGTGTGGTCTCGCGACGTTACCAGCGTGTCCGACATGTTGTCCTTCATCACCCCCACCTCCAGATCCGGTGGCTGCTCCGGGATGGCGCGCATGAGAGACCCGCGGCGCGAGGTCGGGCGTGCGCGGCCGCAGGCAGACGCCACCAGCCTCGGTTTTGGCTCCGAAACCCCCACTGCCTCTGCGTTTGTGGCAAGTCCTTTGACGCGCTCCTCTTCGCGCTGCTCCTCGTGCCTTCGTGCATCCTCAAAGCGTCTTCGCTCCTCGGCCTTCCGGTGCAACCGCTCTTGCTCATTTTTATTCTTCAATTCCTCGTCGAAACGTTTCTGCTCCTCCTGACGCCGCGTTTTCTCATCGGGTTCGATGGCTTGTGGCGCACTGTTTTTTTGCTCTTCAACGCTCGTCGGTTTATCTCCCTCACTCTGCCCATGGAGCGATTTAGTGATATCAGCTGGCTTGCCGAACTCCGTCGGATGACGCCCACCCACACTCACTTGCGGCGCGGCCGACTGCCTGTGTTGGGCAAGTTCAGCGGCAAGGGCGTCTTGCACCTCGTCGCCCTGAGGGAACTCTGCAATCGACATAATTGTATGGGCGCTGCGCGGACGACCAAGGCTAGAAGAGCGACGCCGCGAAGAGACGCGGGAGGAGCGTGAATGCAGTCCCAGTTGGTCATCATCTTCCGTTCCTGCCGAATACCCACTGACGTCTGGACCAGAGCCGTAAAAGACGGCGGAGCCCATGTCAGCGAGGCTCTCGCCCCCACCAAAGGCATTTCCAGTACGCGGCGGCTCTTGCGTCTCCATGCCAATAGAACTGGAATAAGGAATATTTTGCGATACTTCTTTCTCGGATCCTTTAGTCTTTTGATCGTCAGGCCCGTACCTTGCATCAGCACCATTTCCTACTGGGCTCTGCGGTCGCCTCGGGCTTGTTCCCTCATTGCGCCGGTTGGAGACAGCTCGCACACCAACCTCAGTGGCTTGCGGATCCCTGGGGAGGCCACTGGTGTCGATTGGCGCGGCTCGTGCTGGTTCACGCCAGTCAATTGCGGCGTCATTGTTTTCAAACTCGTAGCTGCCCCATCTGAGGCTGTACTGGGAGGGGCGACGGTTGAAGCTGCTCTGCGACATAAGCTGGGACCGGTCACGTCGACTGGAGAAGAGTTTGAGCACCATCGGTGGCGGCTCTTCCGGACCGCGCATTGACCCCCCAGCACCCATCATGCCACCAAAGCCACCCGCGGAGTTCATTCCGTAACTCCCAAAGCCCCCTCCACCCAACCCGCTCTTGGGTGGGAAGGCACTGCCCCCTCCCGCGGCACCTTGCACAAAACCAGCATCGTTGCCGCCTTGCTGAAACTCGTCCCGGTTTGTATATTGTTCAACGTTTCTTTCAGGATTTCCCTTTGCGCCCTGGCCCACATAAGAAAGTTCTGCACCAAAACCCCCGCCAAAGCTGTTTGGGGTCTGAGTGTATTCAGCACCGTAAGGTTGCTGGGGTACTTGCGTGTACGGCGGAGCGACCCCACCCATCCATGGGGCAGGTTGAAGGCCGTACATTCCCTGCGTGCAGCGGTAACTTTCTTTTCACAGATTGGTTACGGCAACTGTGTCACTCAGTCCTCCTATTCGGGGCGTGCTTGGCCGGTTTAGCCCTTCTTTCTTTATTTCTTTCTTTCTTTCCTTGCTTCCTTCCATCCCGAAACATGCAAGAGGAAAGAACACAACGGGGCAGGGGAGGGCGCAACGGTGAAGGCAGAGTGGAGGCAATGAGGGCGAGGCAGCAGACGTATCCCCATTTCTCGTTTGACGCGCTGCCAACACTTAACAGCGGCGCAGCGTAATAATAACACTTCTTACAACAATATATAAATGTTTAAAATAAAGGGTAACAGCGGGAGGCGTGGACCCCCCTCCAAAGAGAAGTCAGCAAAAGTGAACCTACTCGACAGACCTCGCCGCTGACGAAACAGCACAGGTGGATTGTACATAATGGTGGGGGTTTCTCCTGCCCCTCAACTCGCACTCAAGCGCGTGAAGAGCCGTGGCACGAGGCCAGACGAGTGCAAGCGCGTTTAGTGAGTCAAGCCGACAGGAAGGGGGTGAAAAAGTTACAAGGGGGACACAGCGCCACATGTACGCAGAGACGCACGCACACAAAGGCAGGTAGATATAGATAAGTAGACCAAGAGCAGACCGTCAAGGTAAAAAAGTAAAGTAAAACAAAAACAAAAACGAGACTTTATCCATAACACAATAGTGATTTTCATAACAAATGGGCTTGTGCAAATTAAACGGAGAACGACGAGGAAATCCATCCCGGCGTGCACACCCACTTACACTCCATCCTACTAACTACACATAAAACACAGGACCAAAAAAAACACACACACACAAAACAGCGAAAAAAAAAGGGTAGGGGAAAAAAAAAACGACAAACGCCAAAAAGAAAATGTGCTGAAATGAGGTTACTGAGCCGCCAAGTAAGCATCCATTAATGAGGGCAAGCCAGCTCCCCGTAGTTATCTCATCCCAGAGACAATCCAGTAGAGAAAAATATCAATACATATATCTTCGAGAGTACAAAATCATTTCACACCCTCGTGTTACCTTTTTTTTTTTTTTGCTTTTCGTTTTTTCATATTTCAGAGGGGTTTTGCTACTTGTGAGGGCGCACTTTTTCCAGTAACGCATCCAAGGATCTTTTGAGTACCACGCGATTCTCGATGTAGATTTCAGTGCTTTTCTTCTCGGCTGGATTGCTAATCTTCATTAGGCGTGCTTCTGCCCTTTCAATCGCTTCATCTAAGGTCTTCATGAGTGCTCGTGCGCCCCCATATCGCGGGAGACAATGCTTCACGCCCATAAGTGAGCTCTGCAGCTCGAACCCTTCGGCTGCCCGCATGTCTTTTGCATGAGTCACATAAACGCTAAGTGTATGGCAAGCACCATAAATACTCTCATCCAAGACGGCTTGTGGCTCCTCGCTTGATGATTGCAGGGCAAGCAGCAAGTGTTTCACCGCCTCCCCAGCAGAAATAATCTGCAGTGAACTTACTATTACATCTCCGTCATCATCTGTCACTCCCATCAGACGCTTATTGAGCAGTAATGACAACACAATATAGGTGCCTTCAGAACACTGAGACTCCTTGTAGTTCTCTTCCACATCACGCAAAATGGAGACGAAGGTGCTGCTATCTGGAATATTGCGATATTCCAATCCCACAAAGCGTATGCCAAAAAGTGGAGAGGGGCGGACGGACAAAGTCCCGAATTCTGGATGCTTCCTCAGCAAATCCGCCATCTGCTGCTGTTTCACTGCAGCAAAAGCACAAGCAAGTTTGGTGTGATTGACGCTACTTCTCGCCTCCTCAATAACCTCATCAATAAGACCAATCAGAAATTCCTTTAAAATGCACCAAGAGGGTGAGCCGAGGCCTGGCGTCTGCCCCGCCAGGCCCGACCCTTCAGAACAAATAACTGAAGTGGAGTGCCCGGAAATAAACAGCCTCCTCACCTTTTTTAACTCCACCGAGTCCGTTGAGGTGGAGCCGTTCTGATGCGTGACGATCTCATCTGGAGTAATCAAGGTGTCTGGAGCCCCCACCACTTCGATGCTATGCCCATCTTCATTAACCCTTACAAGTGGATCCAGCAGAGATGAACTTGTTTCGTCGTCTTCCTCATCGGCACCGTCCTCTGCTGGCGAAGGCTCCATCACAAGAAGGGTACGCACGCGGCTCTTCTCACGCACTTCTGTGACTGGTTTTGCAGGAGACTCATCGGGTGATTTGCTCCGCAGTTCATCGTGACTTGACCATTTTGAGTCCGTCCGCTTGAACAGGGGCCGCTGCACCTCCTCCTTCCCATCCGATTCAACCTCAACTGTCACCGAACCTGCACGATGACGATTCACGCGGCCCCACTCTTTTCCAGTCGGCTTTATGAAGCTGCTTGTGTGACTCAGAATGCCACGAGGAACTGGCCTAGAGAAGCTGCTTGTGTGGCTCAGTATACCTTTCGGAGGGCCAGCGTTGACTCCGTTAAAAGAATTTTGTCGTGCTGGGGACTTCTCTACAAAAAAGACTTGACGTTTTAACGACTTCGGAGGTGATGACTGAACGGGCGCCTCTTGCGGTGCATGCTCATCCCCATAGACGGCACAAAAATTCTGTATTCCGGAGACATAGTTGTCAAGCATAGATGCTCCGCTCTCCCCAGGCGATGCAGAAGGTAGTGGGTAGTCCGAGGACACACTTGCCATCGGGGAGTGGGGGCCTCCGTTCTCGTAGTTCCCTCCTGAAAACAAAAAGGTTTGCATATTTTGTTCATCAGCATGCGACACGGGAGCATGATAGGGGACTAAATCCCTTACTTTCCAACCGTGTCCCTCGTGGGCGCGGAGGCGCGTGGAGTGCGCATCCCCTCCTCTTATAGTGGGGCATGAAGAAGCTCGTCCGGGCTGCCGCCCACCCCTCATTTTTGCTAGATCCATCTCTTGCGACGATCTCATGCCATCGGCCGAATATGAGGAGCCCATCCTTGCTTTGTTCCCTACAAACAAAAATAAAACAGCGACCCAAAGCCGTTTTAAACAACAAATTACGTGTGAACTCCCAACCGCCCCCCCCCCACCACGCACACACGCTCAGGCTCACTGTTGCTATACCCGAGATCTACCAAAGAGACGGAGTGAATAAAAAGAAAGAAAGAAAAAAAAGGTATTGGTATGCATTGGCCCTGGCCCGTGGACGTTGGACTGCCAGCCACCGCCACCCCAACCTGCAGCCCGGCTCCAGGAAACCCCATGGCCGAACCCCTCGACAGCAGCAAGCTATGCCTGATCATGCCCCTATTAAGGAGCATCGCCCGAGAAAGAAGAGACAATAAATGCACCCGCTTCAGTCCAACTAACTGCATCACCAGCCAGCTTTTTCACCACAAAACGCAGAGGCGCAAATAAGCAAATAATACAACTATCCTTTGTGTTTCTGCTTAATTTGTAGTGATGCCACAGGACACTGCGTGTGTGTATGTGTGTGTGTGTGTCCCGGAACGACTCTCCAGAGGGCAGCAATTACTCCGAAAACAAAGGACATATCGAACAAAAAAAACACAAATGATTAGAAAGGGTTCTAGGCAAGAACGGGGAAAAACCGCAGATATACACCACGGAATAACGTTTTGTAAAAGTGACGGAGGGAGAAACAACCGTGATCGGGGGAGAAAAAAAACAAGAAGAAAAACAAAGAGGGGTGGTTCAGACAGCAGCAGCGCCACGCTGCACGCAGAGAAGAGGTATAAAAGTGGAAAATAGTTTCGCTGCTTCGTCTTCCCAGCTGAGACGGAGCAGAGGGCACTGAGTAAGTGAGTGGGTGGAAGGAATTTGTATCCCCTGCGCTCCCCAAGAAGAGAAGGGGGGAAAAAAAGTATCTAAGAAAGCATTTCTCCCACGATCGCTCTCGCCGTCCTCTACGCCTCACGGCTGCCTGGGCTTTGTACCCTACGTTCAGGTCCAACCAGGCCAGAAAGCACCTCCCCATCAATGCTCCCACCCACGCCAGAATTTAGGCAGCGCTCCGCCCCGTTTAGTCTAAAAAAAAACATAAATGCAAAAAAAGAAAAGAGTGACAAAATACATAAGACTACTCCCACTTACACAGCTTCTCTCCCCCCTACCCCTACAAAAACATATGCATGCACATACCAAATCCCCAACTACGCACTAATACATCGACCGAGAGTACTCTACCTCCACTCACGTTTTTGGTGAGCTTGCGAGAGCAACGACCCTGACTTACGAATACACGCTTAAAGTATCTCATACCAGTTTTCCTTTCTCAATCATTGCTGTAGCGATCGCACAAATGACAAGTTTTGAAAACCCAGCCCAACCCACTTCGTCCCGTGCAGGAGCCGATTTAAAAAGCCACTTCCACCACCTCCTTTTCGTCAACAATTCACAATTATGGCATGAAAGCTTCGCCTCGGTCTCTGCATTGGGTAATAAGTTAATAATCGTACGCCATCATAATGCTAACTGACATTTTCCGCTACATTTCTTTCTTTCTTTCTAGGGAAAAATAAACGATAAGCCATTCCGTTTCGCATGCCTCTTTGCTTGCGTTAAAGGGAGATAAAGTAAAAAAAAAAAAAAGAAGGGGGTCACACGCATAAGTTACTCCTCCGCCCTTACGAGCTAACTACGGACGTTACGACCGACATCCCCGCAAGCAGGTTTCTTCCGACTGCTCTCAGCGTCTCCACTGCGCCTGACCGTCACCGCTTTTGAACTATGGGAAGCCCGCCCCTCGCCGCCGCGAATGTGTCCAATAATTGGTAGAAAGCGCTTCTCTCCCTTCAATTGCCTCATCTAAGTTTGCGCAAAGGCGACCGGGGCAACTCTTTTCCTTTTATGCACGCCGCCCCCACGCTTCCCGGAGCTGCCTGCCTTTGCACTGAGTAAAGCCATCAGGGAAGGGGAAAGCATCCCAGCCCGTATGTGATTCGTCGGCGTCATACCCGTGTTGCTCAGCAGCCTCCCAGCCTCGTGCACGAGTTCCCATAGGTGCTTAATGTCAGCGTCGTCTGTGGCTGGCATCGCCATCTTCTTCCTCGACCTCTCAATCCCCCGCAATAGTTTCCGTGCCTTCAAGTAATACCGTCCCACGTCGTATACAAACGGTTTGTCGTTTACCACTTGCTGGAGCCTCAGGGCGTAGTCAAAGTAGTCCTTTGACAAGTTGTTGCTGGTGCGCTGTTCCACGCACGTCACGTGCGTTGTCGCGGCGGCACCACCGAAGGCAGCAGCAAAAAACACCTGCAACGGTGCCGCAGTTGATCGCCCTATACTAACGAACAGCATAGGATCCTTCGTTATCGCCATGGTGAGGCTTGTTAGAACAGTCTCTGGGATATTTGTTTCAGGGTCCAAACGACACGAACGTTCACTTACAAGGAGGGTGCCCACAACCATATTTTCCGGGTGACAGCGCAGACGACGTCGCATCCTGCTCGCAATGTTAGCCAAACACTCCTCTGACGAAATCTCATGCCACGAAAGATCCATAAGAAGCGGCCCACAAAGAGCGAGGTATCCGCTTCTTATAGGCACTACATGCTCATTTTCGTTTACATTTTGAAGCATATCCACGGCGGAGCTTGGGGTCGTTACTGCAGCCAAAGAAAGCCAAATCGTGCAGTTTGTTTGATCTTCCACCTCACCTTCTCGGAAACGCCTTAGCAAGGCCTTGAGGAACTCACGGATGAGCATCACGGAAGTTGAAGGGCAACCTGGGGCGTAGGTGGACAACAGGAATGATCGCTGACCACAATGCACGCGATTTAAAAGAGAAGTAAGCGCCTGCGAGGTCCCCACATCGGCAGAAGAGATCACTTCGTCCATGTGGTAACTCGCCTCTAGTGCCACAAAAGAACCGTTGCTAAGCGGTTCATGGTCAACGATGGAAACGGCACTCGTTTCAGTCAGAGGCGTCATTGGCGACTGCTCCCTCGAACAGCCCTTGTCCCCGCTTTCTGGGGAAGAAATAAAAGCGACGGCGTTGACGCCATAGGCCCTCTCGTCGTGATGCTTCCTTCGAAGGTTGTAGCGTGCCAACCTCTTCTTTACAAAACTTACTTTTTTCCAATTTCCCTCATCGTGAGTCGGCAATATTGACGGCAGCCCCACCCTCCGTGGGGGCTGCTCGGCCAAGTTCTTACGCGAAGGCGCCGAACATGGACAAGTCGCCAGCTCCAATCCACAGCGGCTTTCCGGACTTTTCTGTTGAGCTCTCTCGCGACTCACAAGCTGATTCCCTAGTTCGTTTTCGCTGCCCCCCGCCGCCGCCGCCGCCGCCGTCGTCCTCTCCTTGCATTCCCGAAGACACTGGTTTCCGGAAGGCGAGAGTGACAACTCGGCTGCAAGAGGACTGGGGTTCGCCTTTCGAATGTCAAACACAGAACCCCTCGTACTTTTTTGCGCGGGGCCGTCAGGCACAAGTGGCTTTAACTTCCCACCGTCAGCAACGGCAGCAAAAAGCCCGTACTCGTCCAATACGTCGTGATTCTCGGAGTCTGAGGCGTCGCAAACTGTCTGCTCTCCGTCCGGGAGAGAGGGACCATCCCAGCACGGTGGGCTGATAAAACACATGGACATCAAGAATTC